AGCAGGTCAAGGGAGGGGATCCTGCCCCTCTATTCAGCTCGGATGAGGCTGCACCTGGAATATTGGGGGCAGTTCGGGGCTCCCCAGGACAAGAGGGATGTGGAGGGGGAATCGCACAATTCTGTGCGATTCTGTGGAGCAAGCACAGAGCACATCGCAGAGCTAACGTGTTGCAGCTGAGGGATACTCTTCAGCATAGCTCTCCTGTGCTGAGGAATATTAACCTGGACCAAACTGTTGTTCTGAATTAAAAAAAAAAAAAAGAAAAGGCACAAAATCCCCTCTATGTTCAAATCTAACCCAAAAGTCACTTCACAGAATCAAAGAATCCTTAAGGTTGGAAGGTACCTCACTTGACTTCAGAAGTAAAGCCTTGAAGCATTTTATTCCAATCAGTATCACGCAGATGAAACAGTCTCATATTRGAAAGCTCCCTCCTACAAACATTAATTTCTTTCTGGGGTTATTTCTGTGAAACCGACACAGGCTGCAAGAAAGCTCAAGCTTGCTCTTCGGTCAGGGACCTGCCATTTATATTCCCATACACACACCTTCCCTTTCATATTAGGAAATAAATTCCCCTCTGCAGCATTCACAGAATCTTAAAATCCTTAAGGCTGGAAGGGACCTCTAGAGATCATCTAGTCCAACCCCCTGCTCCAGCAGGGACACCCAGAGCACGGGGCACAGGGCGGCATCCAGGTGGGTTTGGAAGATCCCCGCAGAAGGAGACGCCACAGCCTCCCTGGGCAGCCTGTGCCAGGGCTCTGGCACCCCTGCTCTTAATAATTTTTTCCTTAAGTTTCTGTGGAACTTTGGTGCTTCAGTTTGTGGCTGTTTCATAGAATCATAGAATGCCSAAGGTTGGAAGGGACCTCAGAGGTCATGTAGTCCAACCCCCCTGCTCACGCAAGGTCACCTAGAGCACGTGGCACAGGGCTGCGTCCAAGCAGATTTTAAAGATCTCCAAAGAAGGAGACTCCACAACCTCTCAGGGCTTTGTCACCCTCACCGTCAAAAAGTATTTTCTCAAGTTCCTCTGGAACTTTTGGTGCCTCAGCTTGTGGCCGTTTCCTCTAGTCCTATCTCTGGCCACCACTGAAGAGAGGAAGGCCCCCTCCTCCTCACTGCCTCCCTTGAGGTATTTATACATGCTGATCAGGTCCCCCCTCAGCCTCCTCTTCTCCAGGCTGAACAGACCCAGCTCTCTCAGCCTTTGCTCATAGGGCAGATGTTCCAGGCCYCTGATCATCCTCGTAGCCCTGCGCTGGACTCTCTCCAGCAGCTCCACATCCCTCTTGTACTGGGGAGCCCAGAACTGGACACATTACTCCAGATGTGGCCTCGCCAGGGCTGTGTAGAGGGGGACAATCACTTCCCTCGACCTGCTGGAGACGCTCTTCTTAATGCATCCCAGGATTAGGGCTGCATTAGAGCAGGTCAGAGCTCACGAGGCCTCCCCAGAACAGGCTGCAGACCAGAGGTATCAAACTGCAGCCTTGAGAGGCAGTTTGGGAACATCTCCTATGCCTCCCAGGGTCGGGACAACCTCACCCATGTAGCACAGCTGCCTTCGGGCCACCAAAGGAAAGTCAGGTGCCGAGTCATGCCAGACACTCCTTCACTCAACTCAACACTCAAAATGTAGTTTTGCATTGCACCTGAACCCAGACCACTACAGCCAGAACAGACTTTGACAGAACTAGGAAGGTGCGAATCTYGTCCCCTACAAGTGAAGATTACACTTTTGAATATTGTTAAAAGAGACGCAGAGTAGAAAGCAAGTGTAACTGTGATGACTGCGATGCACCATGCAGAGCATTTTGAATTTTTGCTGAAGACTTTGGCTTGTTTCAAAGTTCTTGCTCCTGCTCATGGGTATGTCTCAAAATCCTGCAAGGTTCAATCTCCGTGTTCTGAATTTACACAATACTAGGGCAGAAAGAACCAAAAGGTCTCCCTGCCACCAGCCGCATGCAGCTTTGGGATGCTCAGCCTTTGGACTGCTGTGCCAGAATCTTTGCTGTTCTTTTTTATAGAGCATTGGCTGGACTTTTATCTCAAATTGCAAACCCTGGGGAAGAAGGCAAGAACAGAACTGCAGCTTTCCTCTCATCTACACACATTAAGTCCAAACCCTCTAATGTCTAAGCAGCTAATCAACCTTCTAGGAAGCTTTCTAGGATTTAAAAAACAACAACAACAAAAAAAAAAAAAAAAACCCACAAACAACAACAAAAAATGTTATGTTTTAATAAAATCCTTCAGATATGAAGGAGCCTTCCCAAAATACGAGGCCAACCCCCAAGGCACACACCTTTCCATTTCCTTTTCCCAACTGCTGAAATTAGCAGTAATAAATACAGACAATTCACACTGAACAAGCACCTGTTTAAAAAGATGGGGGGGACATTATAAGACAAATTGAAGACTTGCTGCTAGTGAAAGACTTGTCTATCTTTTCTAGTAAAAGCCTTACCTGCTTGTCCTGCTACAGGACAAACAGGAGTCTCATCTCTCCCCCCTTACAGGGTTAAGGATTCAGCAGAGACAGGTGGTTTTTTCTTTGCAATCTGAAAGCAGATCCTCCCTTCTAAACCCATATTGTAAAAACCAAAAAACGCACATAGGAAAAAAATATATTCTTTCATCAGTCTATGAATACAGCCCATTATCTTTTTTTCCCCTCATTTAAAGTCCTGCTAAAATTCACTTAACTACTAGATACTTTTAGATTCTTTTTTCTCCCCAAAACTAGCACTTTATCAGACTTCACTACTACATCCACYAATAATCCTAACTCTCAAACAATCCTAAGCTGAGAAAATGAGTCTTTTTACTTTTTCAGTCCTAAAAAACGCATTTGCACCTTTTAGATAGAAGAATGTCTGCTTAAAATGCACAATTAATATAGAGGTTCAATCTGAATTTCAAATTAAACTGTTACTAAAATCCATAGCAAATTAAAAGTTTAAGGATTAAAAATAATAATAATAAAAAAGCTATTTGCTTAGCATTGCCATTGCATGCAGTAGAGTATCTTCACTGACATTAGTGTCCTACTATARGATACAAAGTGGTTCATTGCAGTTCATCATTTCCACCTAGATATCAACAAAAGGATGAAAATAATCAGGAATAAACATGAAAAGCTCTAAGAAGATAAGAACTCAGGAAGGAGACAGCATCAAAATTCACGCTGATAAAACAGAGGCAAATAACTTTAAATTTTGCAGTTGATGAGAGAGTTAAGAGAAGATTCTCCCTCCATCCTCTCCCATAAAGCAGGCCATTTTCTTCTGTATTTTTGATCAGCAGCAGGAGGTGGTGCCACAACACGGGGCTCCTGCTCCCTGCAAACACACACACTAGAAAGCTGGTTTTAGGCTGAAATACAACTTAGGGAAACGGAGACCAAAGCAGTGATTAAAACTTTAATTTAAAACTTTGCCAACAAAAAAAAAAAATTGATTACAAAAAGGGAAGTTATCTGTACAAAGTAAGAAAGGAGGTTCCCATTTGACAAGAGGCTGCCGTGGCCAGCTGAAGGACACACAAGCGGCRCTTCGGGCCAGCGGCAATACAGAAACACACAAACTAAACTTGTAAYAGGAATAATCTGTAATAGGAAACTCTGAAGTGAATCTTTCATAAAAGAAAATAAATTGAATTTTCTCAAAAGCAAATCAAGACGTACCAGAAGCCTATTTTTCTTGCAGACCGTTTCCTCTTGATTTAGAGGAGGAGGATACCCGGCAAAGCGAGACCCACTCAGCACCCAGGCCAAGGCAACGACTTCTGCCACCCCTTGCCCCCTCGTGTCCCCACGCTGGCCCTTGCCATGGAAGGAGGTTCTGCAATTTGAGTGTGCGGGAGTTTAGACCGAGTTTAGATCTTCGCTTAGCAGTTAGGTCCTCACCCAACACAAAGGCAAATGCTTTGGTGCCAGGGACACTGCCATGACTAAAGATAAGCAGCTGCACCAAAAGTGCCTACAAAAGTGACAGTTCCAAACTTACCAAGTTGCATCAATAGCAGCTGTGGGTCAACAGCAGATTAATGTTTACAGCAGTGCAGTCCTATTTCCCTCCTACTGTTTTACACGGGGACAAGGTCATCTATAAAACTTACCACTGAATGGACAGGAATTGCAGGCAATTTGTGACGTTCYGGTTCTCCACGTTCTGGTAAAATCTAAACACACAATAGGATCATCACTGGTTTCCTACACYTGTCCATAAGCTGGGTCAAGAAAATTCAGGTGCAATAAGGAAATGGGAGCATGCGTCTTGGATACGAGACAGTGAAAACCCAGGCCGACTGCTTCACTTTAATATTTCACATTAAGCCGCAAGTAGTATTTACAAGTTTTTAAAGGTTTGTAACTCGGGTTTAGTGAAGGAAAACCGGTAGTAAAGAGACACTTTGGCCCAGATCCACTTCACCTGATTATTGGTGCCCGAGACACGTATGCTGGGGCACAACTGCCCTGTGTGGTGCAACTATCCAGTAAAAAGCCAGACCAAATGCTAGAGGAAATATCAGCCTAAGATCTGAGCCTCACATTAGCAGCGCTCTTTTTCCTCCAACTACAGAAGGGCAACTAACCTCCAGCTYAAATTCTCAGTTGAGCCGAGGACAGCGGCACTGCCAGCTCCAGCGCTGTCCTTTCCACGAGCCCAGGAYTCACCTCTCACTAGGAGGGACAGCTACGTTTCCAGATGCTATGAGACACACACGAGTCCTCCTCACGTACAGGAACACAGAGATAAGCAAGAGGTTGGCTCAAGTTCATATGGTGACTCAAGTCCTACCTGGAATGGCAGCTTCCTGGCTCCTCACCCCATGCTCTGCCCACAAGAACCCTCCTTCTGCACAGTCATTCCCTTCTCCACATCAAAAAAGTTTGAACAAGAGAAAAAATAAGATAGTAATAGACACTTTATGTAGTTCTTTACTCAACAGTGGAAGAGTCCTTAGTGAAGCAATCTGTCCTATTGTACTTTGAACCTGGAAGGGTATTTTTTTCCCCCCCTAGCTTTGATTCTTTGACATCTTAAAGCTTTTGAGAGAAAGATGTAAATTCAGTTAGACAATGCTGTGGTCAGTCCCCTCCACATCAGCTACAACCATACGTTACTAAGTTGTAGATTAGTATTTGTGTGACCCAGTTTTGCAATCAAAAAAGAAACCCTGACACCAAGAACTCACAGATGCCAAAAAAAGCAAAACAACCCCCCCCCACAAGCTCAGTTTAAACACAGCAAGTTTTGTACGTGACACGAAGAATTCAGAGATTTCAATTCTGGGAATATTTGTTATTGCAATTTCAAATCAAAGCCCTCTTAGTCTTGCCCACCCCACACTGCAGCACATGGCACAAACGCTGCGTGGCAGCAAAAAACTGCTCTCAAAATACATCTTAATAATGGAAATGAAACACTTGCACTTTGCTTTATAAAGGGCAGCGGAGACCTATYGCTTAAACAGTGTTTCCAAAGACCTTAGACTGCAGCTGCAGGAAAAATCAGCTTCCTAATCATAGGGGTTAGGCTGATCCCTCTGCCACACGCTGGGTTCTTACCTTCCCACAGCCAGCAAAGCCTTGAACACACAGGGTGAGACACCACGAGCTTGTTCAGAGCATCACAGGAGCAGGTGCCCACGTGGACACCCCTTGTTACAGAAAGACAATACTGTACAAAGAAGGCTTTTTTAATGGCAGAATCGAATTGAATACTATTTGCTAACCTGGAGCAAGAACTACATTTTTCCCTTCTGGAGCTTTTAATATCGTCTTGCATCAGAAAAAAAATTCTTGCTAATCAGTTAAATCTGACAATATTACAAAGAGCTCATTCTTCAGCACGCTCTGTACCAGGAAGGACGGGTCCTACGTGCTACTGCAACCAAAGAACTGCTGGTTTTCGACGGCAGAAGGTCTTCACTGGTCACCTAGCCGGAAACCTTGGCCCCAGTTGTGTCTTCTCCCACCCTGCTGATCCTCAGCAGCTCTTCTCATGCTCGCGGGCGGGACTCCAAAGCCCGACACTCCTCCTCTTCTATTGGGCAGCCAGCGGTACCTAGGACCAGCCATGGGGGAGAAAGGAAGAGAGTCTGAGGAAGAAAGTTACACCGCGGGGTGCAGCTACCAAGCTGCTTCTCTACACACTGCCTTTTAACTGCTGGACTTTGCAATAAAACTGGCTTTTCACAGCAATATCTCACAGAATTCTTTCCAAGTATGAGGTCCTCAGCATGCTGAGGATTAACAAAATTCCCTGTGAAAACAGGGAATTTAAAAAAAATAAAAGAGAATCCAAGTCACTGCTGAGCATCTCTCTCTTAATACTTACAAAGCTCTAGCATCCCTAGAGCAAAGATTCCTGAGGAACTAAGGACCAAAGAGACTAAAGGAAACACAGGGTCAGGTACGTAACCTGCCTGAAAGCAGAGTTTAACCAGGCCAGCAAAACCTCTCCATCCAATGTAGGCTAYCCTTTGAATAGGCAGTGATCTAAAAACACAACTTTTGTATTTTGTAAGTGATGCTATTGATTCAGAGTCATGTATATATATAGTATAGTATAGATACCATGTAAATCCCTTGCTGAATGTGGCTAAGATCCAAGACAGAAAGAAGAAAAAAGCAACAACAAAAATTCCTTTATACAAGTCATAYTGTATAGAAAAGCCCATTACTATATTAAAGGTATCAATAATTCATCACAAAAATCTATTAAATAAAACACTGCAGCAGCACAGAGACAGAATTTATCCCTCTGTAGAGATGTCTGTAGTACTTCGTTCTTGATTCTCAAATACAGAAAAGAATTAAATATCTGTAACAGGAATCAAGAGAATTGCACATAATCAATAAGAYTGCTGGTCGTTAGTACTTGGAACGACATTTTAAAGGCAACATTTTCTCTTCTCATCTCTATGAAAATCTACCTGCATTTTCCAAAGACAAATCTGGAGCRTGCAGCCCCCTCATTCGGATTAAAAGTTGTACAGAAAATATAACTGTAATTCAACTTYGCATGTTTTAATTGACATTTTAGCCTATTAAAAAGAGTTAATTCAGTTGCTAAAGCTTAGCAGAGAAAGATTTACAACCTGAAAGGRTGATGAAAAAAGGAACTAAAGAAATATTTTTAGTTTCTGATCTCAGTGTTTCAACGCCAAAACAATGAACAGATTGTAAGAAAAAGCACCTCAGAAATTAGCAGTTTTAGTCAAGGCCCCTCACATCAAATATAGAGCAAAATACGTATTACAGTACYGAGCAGATCTGCAACAGATTTCTGTTCTGTTGTTGCTGCAGGTTGCTAGCCTGGTATCTGTATTTTCATGCATCATTGTAGCAGCTAAAAGATAATCTTCAGGGGAAAATGTGATTAAAAACAACACACAAAACCAGATATTGCCTGCTAATTGCCAGGGAGGCTTCCATTACAGTTGGATACACTTGCAGGAACGTGACTCTTATCTCATGCTTAGGAACAGACAAAAAGCCACCCACAAGCGTAGCATTTCTACCTCAGCAGTCAACAAGAAACTCTATTAACAGAAAACTCTACTTTCTTTGACAAGTCACTATAATCCAGTATGATTTCCCATGCATGCAACAGCTGAAAAACTGATCCAGATTAATTTAGGAAAATATTTTACYCCCTGCCGTCCCAACAAATGTGTGTTGGGTAGAAGACTGTTCCACATAAACATGGAACCAAAGAATAAATCCAGCTTACAAGAACTGAGGTGTGGACAGGAAAGTCCTTCCTCCTAAATCCATTGGATATTTAAACATTAAGAAGAAATACAGGTGTCCAACCAGATTTCCTATCAGTTCATTGATGACCCTGCAAGATAAAAGAAAAAGAGAATTGGTTCACATGCTCTTTTGCAGAGATGAGGGAGCATCTTCTGCCAGTTTAACCCTGTGGACCTGTCCCAGGCTGCCGCATCCCTATGGCCACGGGCCACAAAAATCTCCCCTTCCTTCAGCATTTTGCATTGCACCTTTTAGAGCATCAGCCTTCAGTGCTAGCACATGAGCAGGCTCCTTCACCCTCCCTTCCAAGACTAGAACTGCACTGAAAATGTCATGGAACGCTTKTTTACACCAGTGAATCAGACCATATAGCTCTTAGTGTCTAAAATAACAGTCTACCTAATTCGGGAAGTTGCTGCTGTTTCCACGGGCCAGCCTGTGCTCAAYAGTTTTGTTCCCAACTTTGTAAAACCCCTGCTGAATGGAGGCCCTTTCCGTCATGCACTGAAGCAGCAGGYATCTAACAGCAAGCAGCTTCCCTACGTGGCAGATGGGTCAGTAGGAGGCACRGGCAGGGAAGGGACGTGCAAGTGCTGCACTCGCGTCTCTTCTTGCCAGTCTCCCCCATCACTTGTGCTCGTCACTAACTGTGTCACAGCGGCACCAAGAGGCTCCCACCGACACGGGGCACCCGTGTGAAAGGGGAGGCACAAGGAGGCGATTTCTGCATCACACAGGTCAGTCAARCAGAGCAAGACAGACCAAGGGATGCTGAGAGCTGGCAGGTACTCAGCTTTAAGCCTCTCCTTTTAATACAGCTGCTAAATTTAGTGATAAGACACACAGCTAGGAAAGCCTTTATAGCGTGGCCATGTTAGTAAATACATACGATCCTCCAATGATGTAGTTGAATCCCAGAATAACCCATGGCAGGTAACAGGCCTAAAGGAGAATTAAACAGACATAAAGAAGTTGTAAGTAAAGCAGAGGACATAAACCTGCATATGATTCAATGTACCTTTTGGAGGTATGGTTATWCCAGTATTTTCAAGGTGAAACAAATCCAATATATTAAGTTAAATAGATTATAACAGGCAGGATACTCCTAACAATAACTATAATTTTCAGACAAATCATACCCGCTTAAACATTATAAGCACATGGATCCTGCACCATCTTCCATGGCTAGCTTAAACCTGAAAAGACCAATATCTCAGAACTTGAAAACAACTGGAAAGAAATATTAAATGAGTTTTCTCTACAAGATCTGTCAGACACAGCCTAGGTTGCAAACTAAAGAGACAATTAATATACCAACAGTTTTTGCCACCGTTGTTAAGCTTTTTTGGAGGTTAGTGATAATCAGGAAGAGTAAAGTTTTCATCTTCTTTCAAGCCAACAAATTTCAAATTTCAGGATGTCTTTCCAGTAGAGCCATGATGGATAACAGCATATGCAAGACCTGAGAAATTTGTCCTCACTGCTTCTCAAGGACTCTGTAGTTTTGTATAAGCAYAGAATATGTTCAATATATGTTCAATAAGAGAAGATATTTGTATTGTGCCTTCTAGTTTATACAGAAACAATAAAGTCCAGCAGGCCCTTCACGTGCATCTTACGCACARTATCTTTTCCAATATTCTGTTTGGCATTACCTTAAATCTTGTCCCAAACCAAAATGATACTATCATGTCTCTGTTCAGCTGGGCCCAAACATAAAGTACAGACATGATGAGAGGAATCATCAGCAACTGCAATGTTAAAAGGAGAAAAATAAGAAGTTACCATCAATTTCATAGACACTCGAGAAACTTAGAATAGGCAGTAGGGAGTACACGTCTCAAACGATCTGTAGGCATGACACACCACTAAAATCCTAAAAATTTATCCCAGAAACTTTGCCAAAAGTCATGGATCTGTCCACAATCTAATGAGAAAGCTAAGCAAGAGAACCAACATGGTCATTCTATATTGCTGGGCTAGAAAATGCCTCCTCAGTTAATGAAAACGGTCTCAGTACACTAGAGCATTTGGGCTTCTGTGCTTACCTAAGCTATCATTAGCTATTTACTTCCTAGTAGAGGTATCAAATGATTAATTCACATAYAAAAAACACAGATTTCCTGATCATTATACCATTAGTGTCTCCTCATTCTCAACACAGACATGCTGGTGCTTCGGTGCAGGGCAGCTGAGACACAAAAAGGCATTAGAGAAACATAAACCAGTAGCTGGGCTCCCGCTCTCACTGGGAGAGACAGGATTTGCAGGCAGTTCCGCTGCTCTGTCCGTCTGGTACCTCCCATAGGCAGCAGAGCAGAACATCCTCGTGCCCCAGCCATGTCCACTGGYGAGCAGGACACCAGTCCACACGCTCCCTCACCCGCGGCTGAGGCACCAGATGAAGCASCCCGTTGCCCAAGACGTCTCCCTGGGGAGCCACCACCGCCTAAGGGAGCTGTACCCCGCGTCAGCATCTCCAGCTCCAAGCAYCACAGCTACATGTGGTACTTGTGGCACTGTTAGAGCCTCAGTTCAGCCTTTTTCCCGGGAGATGAGCTGGTCCTCGTGCTCCCCAGCTCCAATCCCAGCCACCAGCAGCAAACACGAAGCGGCAGCCAAGCACTCTGCCAGGTTCTGCACTGAGCAGCGCCGCCGCCAACCGCACCTCTGTGACCGGCTCCAACGCTGCCAGGCCCCCGGCTGGCTGGAACTGGAACTCAATCTGAAACCCACCCGCTCGAGGGCGTCACTCATCCGAGGTGGACTCGTTAGTGCCGGCACACGCAGCCCCAGTGCGCCCCGTGCCAGCCCCACAGCACCTCAACGCCCCCTCCRGCGCCCCACAGCTCTTCACGGGGCGCACGCTCGCTTCCACAGAATCACAGGATGGTTGAGGTTGGAAGGGACCACTAGAGATCATCTAGACCAACCCTCTGCTCCAGCAGGGACACCCAGAGCACGGGGCACAGGGCGGCATCCAGGCCGGTTTGGAGACCTCCAGAGAAGGAGACTCCACAGCCTCCCTGGGCAGCCTGTTCCAGGGCTCTGGCACCCTCACAGTGAAGAAGTTCTTCCTCACATGGAGATGGAACTGCCCGTGTTTCAGCTTGTATCCATTGCCCCTTGTCCTGTCACTGGCCACCAGTGAGAAGAGCTTGGCCCCTTCCTCCCTACATTCTCCCTTCATACATGTTAATCAGATCCCCTCTCAGCCTTCTCTTCTCCAGGCTGAACAGGCCCAGTTCACTCAGTCTCTCCTCATACGAAAGAAGTTCCAGTCCCTTAATCATCATCTTTGTTGCCCTCCACTGGATCCTCTCTAGAAGCTCCCCACCCCTCTTGTCCTGGAGAGCCCAGAACTGAGGAAAATTTCCAGAAAAATGAAGCCATGTCCAGGCTCTGGGAGTACTGGACACAAGGATAAAGGCCCTACTGAGATAACTGTCTTCTCATTTTGCACACAGGCCACTCAACACAAGCAAGAACAGCCCCACTTCTAACRAAAACACACAAAATCCACATTTTTTACCCCAAACAACCGCTCCTCTTTCTGTAATACTTCAAACGTAATTCTTAAAMTGTTTTGATTTCCCCTTTATGAAGATGACATAAATTTGTGGCTCGGTCTCACCTCAAACATGTGCAACATTTTTAAGATATAATTCTGTGGGATCGACCCCTCTCAGCTAGAAAGTTTCAAATACCAAAGTAGGGGCAGCCCATCACAGCATTCAATCCTGACTGCAGATGCACAATCACTCTTGGTATCTACAGAGGGAACTGATAAATGATCTAATAAACACTAAAATAACCCTATACAAAATACTGGAGCTACTGCTTTAGGCTTCGGGTGACAGGGCCAGAAATTAGATAAAGAATGAACATCAGAGGCAGGCTGGAAACTATCTGATGGATACTCTCTTGGGCACAACAAATGATTCCACATTTTCCTCTTTAGGATTTGGGCAGATAAGAACTGCTTTATTGAAACTGCTTATTGAGATCGTCATTTTAATCCCTTCTAAGGGGACTTTGCACTTCACATGCTTGGTATGAATCTCAAGATGCGTTTTTCACAAAAAGATCTTGTCAGCAAGCAAAAGGAAGGAATGCTGTAAAGTGAATTTGAGAACTCTAACCAACCCAAGAATTGTTCTTAGCTAGAAGGAATAAGAATGCACATCCACAGGTCCTACCACATACCATGAGAGAAAACAGTACACAGGTGTAATCCTGGGCTCATTTTAGTAAAAGGCAGAACACTTCCTAACTAGGAGATCAGATTTTCATTCCTTGATTCTCTACTGACATTATGTGGGGCCAAGTCAGACATGACCTTCTCATCAGGTTAGCTGAGGCTAACACAAGCCGCTTTGAAAGCCAAAAACTMACAGCACACACATAACTAGTCTATTCTGATATAGACCAAAGCAGTCTCACTTAAAGTCATTAAATAGCTATAAAGTTGCAAAAGACTATTAAGAAAACTGCACTGCACTTACCTGCATGTCCATTGCCAAGCCAGTTATCTGTCATTACATCACTAAGGAAAATGCAACAGAACTTGATAGATGGGAAAGACAAAAAGAAGCTACACACACAAACCCTGAACACACAGAAAGGCCTTTAAATGCATGGAGTCAAGAGAAGCTTTGGAAAATAAAAAGCCTTCTATAATGTACAGACCAATGCACAGTGTGTAGGTACCTCCCAAACCCAGCATTTGCAGAAAAGCACGTTGCGGGCCAGAAGTTGACTCTTTCAGTAGTCTTTTTAAACATAAAAGTACTCTTCTTTAATATCTTTTACAAAGATATTTGTAAATATCTTTAATAAATAATATTATTAATAATAATTTGTAAATATCTTTATTTTTTTAAATATCTTTTACAAAGATATTAAATCAGAAAAAAAATCTACTTTAACTGTTGGGTCATAGAAAATGAATAACTTCCTGAAGTCTCTCTGAGCAGGCTTTTAACAGMATTTTCCTAACTTGGAAAATGAAGGACTGCTTGCTGTCATGACTGCTGGAGAGAAACAATTCCTGATGAATTCTACTATGATCAGAATGCTTTTATAGTTCAGGAATGAGTATAAGACGGCACCAAGCTTTTTCCCAGATAAGGGATTCAGGTTACTCCTTACGTTGTGTATGGAGCAAGCAAGTGGAAACTTTCAAACCATCGTTTTGGAAGTCAAGCCACAACCAGATTCCTCCGCATGCTCACAGCTCAACTGCCTCCAAGGAGAATTAAGCTGATGGTTCTTAACAACGTAACTAAACCCAGGCTGTTATCCTGGTCACTAGGTAGCTCAACGGGATTAGCAGGAATGACAGTAACGATTCCCTCCATACAGTGGAATGTGACTGCAGATAGTCAATCTATTAACAAGGCAGCAGCATTTCCACACAGTGGCTTTTCTGGCTTAGCTGGTTCACACTGAAGTCACGGCTCCCTTTTTTTTCCCCCTGCTTTTTGTGCTACTGCAAATTGGCATCAAGCAGGCTAGGAACAGCAAGAACTGAACAAGAACAGAGATTATTTTTATAATGAGGTATGGTAAGAATGAAGTACTATTGGGAACTACTTGGAGCAGTTTTGCTCAAGCACTAAACTCCCTCTGTAGCAAAACCTGGGATCATCCAGGGCTCCCCACCTAAAGCAAGTTTTTCAGATGAAAATTTTTCATCCAACTCCAGCCTGACTCAGTATTCAGTAATGTTGCCACTTTTTTGCTTGTTTCTAAACACTTAAATGAAATTTCCTGTGTTACAGCATTAAAAAAATAAAATAAAATAAAATAAAATAAAATAAAATAAAATAAAATAAAATAAAATAAAATAAAATAAAATAAAATAAAATAAAATAAAATAAAAT